CATCTTGGGGTCCAGAAGGAGGTGGGAAAAGGGAATGGTCAAAACAGTTTATTACTGAGCAAGGGCTCAAGCAAAAATCTGACATTTATTGAACACTTAGAATCTGTGTGCCTGGAACAATCTCATTTCAGTGTTGTAACAGCTCATGAAGTATATACTTTCATTACTTTCATTTTCTTAATCTTTGCAGCTAAAAAAGCTGAGGCTCATGGTAAAGTTCAGACAGCTGGGAAATAATGGAGGCAGGCTTTGAACCCAAGTTGGTTTTTCTTATTTCTTAAAGGACAGAATTCAGGAGTCATGTTGTTGTTGTTAGAGACGAGGTTGCACTATGTTGCTCAGGGTAGGCTTGGGCCCCAGGGATCCTCCTGCCTTAGCATCCTAAGTAGCTGAGACTACAGATTTGTGCCACTGTGCTTGGCCCCAGTTAGCCTTGAGTACACTGCTTATCTGCTGTCCTGAGGCTGTTCTAGGCTGGAATCTACCCCTCTCATTATTACTGATCACAATCCCTAGGGTAATCTAGAAAGCTTTTGAAACTTTTAACACAGACATGCATTTTTTGATGTACAGAAGTCCTCTGTGGGATCTTAAATTATAATATGTGCATGTCCTCATAAAAGAGGCTTCTCTTTTATGATAGGACTATAAGAGGTGATGTGACTTTAGTGGCTCTGTTAGGTTTTACCTCATGAGCTCAAAGACAAAGAGGGATCTTCAAATGGACTCTCCAAAGCACAAAAGCAGAAAAATTCTGCATTGGGTCAATCAAACCAGACAGTAAATTTGCCACATAAATGTCTCACTTACGGCCCAGCCATTACAAAACTATTAGATAAGTGAATTTAAATCACTATAATCTGACATACCCAGGCTCTGGCAAGGCAAGGACAGCATGGAGAGAATGTGAAACATCATGGAAATTGCCACAACTCTGGTACCTAGCAGGTGGGGCTCAGATCAGAAGCTCAAATGCTTGACAGATCTTAATACAGTCTAGAAAAACAGACTGCCACCGCCCAAATGTTCATCCATTCACCACTGTGTCATCTATCTAAATCTTTTGATCCCCCTGCCTTTAAAATCTACCTGTCGTCTGTCATTTCTTTATTCCTCTCTAGTGTCTAAGCTAAAACTGAGATAATCATATAAATCAATGTGTGCTAATGTGTTCATTTTCAAAGAACATTTACTGAGCACTTCTTGTGTGCTCAGTACACTGAGTAAACAGAAGAAAAACCTGGGCCAGGCGCAGTGGCTCATGCCTATAATCCCAGCACTTTGGGAGGCCAAGGTGGGTGGATCACGAGGTCAAGAGATAGAGACCATCCTGGTCAACATGGTAAAACCTCGTCTCTACTAAAAATACAAAAATTAGCTGGGCATGGTGGCACAGCCTGTAGTCCCAGCTACTCAGGAGGCTGAGGTAGGAGAATTGCTTGAACCCAGGAGGCGGAGGTTGCGGTGAGCTGAGATCACAGCATTGCACTCCAGCCTGGGTAATAAGAGTGAAACTCCGTCTCAAAAAAAAAAAAAAAAAAAATCAACAGAAGAAACACCTGATAATCTCTTATAGTAGAGTCAATTTCTTAATTATTCTTGAATTAATTGATTCATTCCATAAATATGAGTATTATGTCTTAGGCACTGAAAATTTGGAAAAGGTACAGAAAGAAAAAAACATACATTTTGGATTCAAATTGCTCACAGTAAAAGAACCATGAAGTCCATAGACAGGTTCAAATCAGTGTGGCAAGAGCTGCAGGTAGGGAACTAGAAGGCAAGCCCACCCAGGCGGAGGACACCCAGGAAGGCTTCTCATAGGGACACTGCTAAAAACAATCTCCAGGTATTTAAGGACTAGGAGTTCTCTCAGAGAAAAGGGCTAAGGCATTCCAGGCAGAAGGACCAGTCCACAGACCAGATAAGCAGGTGCCCAGGAAGGGGGTCATGCTGGTTGAGAGGAGAACAGCGAGAAATGATACTGTGGAGGTTTCTAGAGAGTCTACACTAACCTGCTTCTCATTCACTGGGCAATCCACGTTCATCCCTTTCTGTCTTTGCCATTCCACTACCATTGCTTTTTAAAATTTGAGACATAATTCACATACCAGAATGTTTACCCTTTTACATTATACAACAATTAGATGGATTTTAATATGTTCACAACATTGTACTGCCATCACCACTATTTGATTTCGAAACTTTTTAAAATCACCCCAAAAAGAAACTCCATACCAGTTGCTCCCCATTCTCCTTCCTGGCAACTACTCATCTATTTTCTATGAATTTGCCTATTCTGAGCATTTTACATAAATGAAATCAGAGCAGTATGTGGTCTTTCAAGGCAAGCTTCTTTCATTCACTTAGCATCACATTTGCAAGGTTCATCCATGTTGGTACATACATCAGTATTTCATTCCTTTTCATGGTTGAATAATATTCCATTGTATGGATATACATTTTTAAAATTCACTAATCAGCTGATGGACATTTGAGTGTTTCCTCTTTGGGTCTATTATGTATAATGCTGCTATGGACACTCACAGTGATGCTTTCTTAAAGGTCACCAGGAACCTCCATGCTCTTAAGTCCAATGGGCACATCTTTGTGGCTTCTTAAACTCTCAACAGCATTTGACATGGTAACAAAGTGCCCTTCTCCAAAGAGCCTCCTCTCTGACTTCTCTTTCTGCACATTTTTATTCTTTTTCCTACATCTTGGCCTAGTCCTGTCTCTCCAATTGTGACCCTCTCTGACCATTGTTCACATAGCATTCAGGGGATGTGTTTCCTAGGTGAGGCAGATCCCCTCCCGGCTGGAAACCATGCAGTGGCTTTCCCTTGAGGCCTCTGTGATCAGGCTCTAGTGGCTTCTCCACTACACCAGCACTGCTCTCATGCATCACATGCTGGTTATGGGAGGCTTTTGTTCGTTTGGATTTTAGTTTGTCCAAAGCACTGAACTCATTTCCACCTCAAGGCATTTGCCTGTGGAAAATGCTCTTTCTCTCTTTCCTCTGATGGCTCACTACATTTGATTCATCAAGTTTCAGCTTAATTTCACAGGCACACAAAGGCCTTCCCCTGCCACCATAGTGAATGAAAATCTCTGCATTGGATAAGCTTTGATTCAGCGCTTTGTCTCCTGCCCAGCCCTTGTTCTAAGTCATTACTTTCTTGGAGTATGTATGAGTAGCTATCTGTGGCTTTGCATGTATATGTCTGTGTGTCTGAATTTGACTTTAGACTGTAAGCTCTATAATGACAGAGACCTTGTCCATATTACTCATGTCTTATTCTCAGGACCTATCGTTTAATAGAAACTCAGTAAATATCTGTTAGATGAAGTGAAGAAATAAGTAAATGACATGGAAAATGAGGAGTAATTAGGATTAAGTGAAAGAAAAGGAGTCTGTATATATTTCTCAAAATCTAAAGGGATATAAAATATACATGACTGCCATTATATGATCACGCATCTAAATTTACTGCTTATTCATGTACAGAAATCAGAATAATGTCAAAAGATAAGAGTTTGGACACCTGGGCCTGGCAATTCCCATTTCCCAACCTTGTACTGTGTTCAGGAACTTCTATCAGAAGGTGGTGAGCCTTCCACTGGGAGCCACTTCACGCCTCCATACCGAACTCATCACGGTTCTTTCACTTGGAGTAGACATCTGCTCTTTTTCATCCAGAAAATGCCTTTCCATTGTCCTTTGTCCAACCCTCAACTCCTTCAAGACAACTGCATCCCTCGCACCTCTCTGTTCCTTCCCTGCCTTTCACACCTTGGTTATTCCACGCATGATTGGATGTTGACCCATTTGTCCCTCTCACTCTGAGAACAGAGGCCGTGACTTAGAGCAGAGGCCATGACTCATTCATTTGTGGTTTTATTCATGCATCCAACAAATATTGGTTGCCCAGAACCAAGCCCAGAGGCTGGCACGAGGTAACCCTCACTAAGTACTTAAGGGGAACTGAAACTGGCTGGAGCCTCCCCAGCAAGCTCACCAACTGAGGGGATCCAATTAAGAATGGAGGGAAGAGACAAACTCTCAGAAAACATAATAAAACTAGACACCATGAGGTCAGACCAGCAGCTGCCATTTCCCCAACGACGTACAAAGGGAATCCCTGCTTCACACTCACTGGATCCCCGGAGCAGAAACAGAGAAATTGGTCTCTATCCAGAGCTGCTACCAGAAAAATCCTGCCCTAGGTGTGCTTTTGCCACAAGGCACTAGAAGCAGAGAGCAGAATGCACTCATCCCAAGGGGAGGTTAGCAGCAGTAAAAAGACCCTGCCATTAGACCCTGCCATTAGTGCCTTTTTCCAGCCTCGCTATTTCATTCCTGCTGCCTTACAGAGGATCAGTGAGGGAGCTGAAAAAACAGGAAAAGAAACTGTCTTCCCAATATTTGTGAAAGGTCAAAGATTCCTGAAAATGTATGCCACACAGTCTGACATGCATTTGCAAGAAGTGGGCAATTCATGGAAAGGGATAAATGGCTCCTCCTGCTGTTGCCTTCTTTTGAAAGGATGGATCACTTTTTATATCATGTCTTATATTTGAGGATGAAGGCATAAGGTAATTGCATTGAAATTTTACATTACTCAGGACTTTATGCATAATCTTAAGAAATGTTGAAAAAAAATTAATGCCACGGGCATATAAGTTCAGGCCAAAAGGACAGAAAATCACCTCAGCATAGATAGCGAAGTCTTCCTGCATTTATAAAACTAGGACAGAAAATCACCTCAGCATAGATAGCGAAGTCTTCCTGCATTTATAAAACTAGGACAGAAAATCACCTCAACATAGATAGCGAAGTCTTCCTGCATTTATAAAACTTTAAAAATGCTTGCTTCTCAGCAGAATCTCTGCATAAAGGGTTCATGTCATTTCAAGGCATTTTACTTGAAGTTCACAAAATGACTCATTGGAAGAGCACGATGCCCGCATCCCCTCCACCTCCTATAGCTATCACTTACTGTGAGTTCTTTGCTTTTAGAAAAAGGCCACCAGCCACGCACACGTTTTTGCTGGAATATAGAGATCTTGGTCTCCTCACTTGCATTTTCAAACTTGGTGAGATCACAGGCTTTGGCAGACTTAGCTGCTCGAGGGAAACTGTTGAGGTTCATTTCCAAGGTGCCTGTGGAGAGATGACTGTAAAAGTTAGGGAAGCATTTTCTGAAGGTTACATAAGAGCTTTCCATTCATCATCCTCATTCATTTACCCTTCACTTCCTAGTCATTCAGTCAGTACCATATTGGATCACAACTATGTGCTAGGTATTGGGAGTACAAACAGGACTGAGAAACATTTGGTGCCATCAAAAGAATAATCACATGGTAGCAGGTAGAAGGGAAAAACTTAACTTGCAAGCCTCAGTTGCAGGTAACATCACTGCTGGGCACCTCCTCTGCTTCCTGAGCCTGGATCATTGGCTGTAGCCCTCCCCTACTTTAGCACTGACAAGCCCATGAGAGCCTCCTCACCCTACTTCACCTCCCTCTTGATGTCCAGTAAACCCCTCCAGGTCAGAGACTAGTCTTCTTGTCCTTGTATCTATTCTTCAGGACAGGAAGTGAACCTCAGTGGGTTCCCAACACTGTTTTTCCAATGAATGAGCATGAGGCAGAGTAAGATATTGCCCTGAGTCCTGTATCTCTTTAACCATTTTTTTCCTATTATAAATTAATAATTGTTAAACATGAAAAATTCAGAGCATACTCATGGGCAAAAATAGGAACATGGAAAAATTTTTTATAATTTCATTCCTAAAATGTTGACCACTGCTCTGTGTAATGAGGCTTAGCCCTTTCTTTCTGCCTATGACTGTCCCTGTCTCTATGCATATAGAGAAAATGAGATTTTTCTCTTTTTACTTAATGCATCCTGTACATTAAGGATGTACAGAACTTTCCAATTCATTAGATATTCCCATATTTTTAACGTTTGCAGGTTTATTGCCTGTTGAGTGTGTAAACCAAAACTAAAACTTTAAGCCCTCCAACGATCTGAATGGACGACTCCTGTCTGCCAAGGGCACTCTAAAATTAACCTGAAAAACTAGTGCAGGACATTGATAGGAAAGGGGAGTCAGACATGCCTCATTACTATTAACATCAACAAAGACCTTAAGACTGGGAACAGACTCTCAAGTCTGATCATCTATCCTCTCTGAAGCCTGCTACCATGAGGCTTCATATGCATGAAAAAGCCTTGGTCTTCACAGCCTCTCATCATAATGCAGACATTCCTTTCTATTGATTCCAGGTCTTTAATAATAACTCAACCAATTTCCAATTGGAAAACCTTTGAATTTGTCTATGACCTGGAAGCCCCCACTTCCAGTTCCTCTGCCTTTCCAGACCAAACCAATGTGCATCTTACGTGTATTGATTGATGTCTCACATCTCCCTAAAAGGTATGAAACTAAGTTGAGGGCTGACTACTTTTGGCACATGTCATCAAGACCTCCTGAGGCTATGTCACAGGCATGTCCTTATTTTTGGCAAAATAAACTTCTAAATTGATTGAGACTTGCCTAAGATACTTTTTGGTTTACAAGTGATTACTCTGTGTGAGGCACTATGGAGTACTCTTTAATTGTGTTATCACATTTACAGCTCCGCACCCCTCTGTAGTATGTAATATTACTACCCTCATTTTACAACTGAGGCACAGAGCAGACCAGTAATTAGCTCAAAGTTTAATGACCTTTTAGTGATAGAGCAAAGATCAACTTCGGTCTTTTGGCATATGTAGGGGTCCATCATATGGATGCACCATCACTCATTTAGCCAATCCCTATTAATGGCTCTTTGGGATGTTTCCAAGTTTTTGCTATCAGACAGTGCTAAATTATTAGTCTTGTAACTAAATCAGACCAAGCTCTTCAAAAGCTGAGACAAAACCTTAACATTAATATGTGCTTGATAAAGCCACTGGCTTACCCAAGAAGTCATCTGAGGACAGCCTTTCAAAATCCCAAACCTGCAGCACCAACACAGCAGGAGTCTTACACTCCATCTTCTCTAAAGAGAAGATGTTCTCCCTCTTGGTAATGACCATTTGCTTCTCAGCTGGGAGATACTGGAACGGAAACAGGAAGCGCCAGTTGAAGTTACCCTCTCCAGTCAGGGAGTTGTAATGCACGTCTGTCTCCTGCTTGTCATCCTCTAAACCCTTTAACCATCTGAAAAAAGATTCATAAGAATTTAAACCCTCAGAGTACATTCTCCAGGCATCAGTATAATCATAAGTGATTTAGCTCATTTCAGTGTGGTCACAGATCATAGTTTTAAAATCATTATAATTGGATTCAGTTGGAAGTTTCTATTTTTAACTTGAAAGAGTGAAAGAGTGAAATAGGGGTCAGAGGATCTGCTGTAACAGAAAAAGGACTGATTTCAAGGCAGGGTGGGGAAGGGTCTTCAATTGCTTGTGTAGATCTGAAACTCCATGCAATCAAGATGGAAAATTCAGGAAATAGGCAGTGAAAGTGTAATCTGAATCTCTGTCACCCTGGGAGCCCTCTATACTTGAGTCTTAGAACAAGATTACCCACTACACTGAGGACTCTGACATTGGGCTGCTGTAGTCCTGTGCTCTCAGGCCTGCACTGGGCTGGTATAGAGTCTCTACCAGACTTGTGTTGTCAGACCTGTGCCATCAGATATAATTGGTCCCCTCCTCCCTGGTTCTAGGCCTAGAACACCCAGCAGGCCTGGATTTGTGTGGCATGGAGGGTGAGAGGGCTACCTGCACCCATCTGGATTCCAACTCTGACTGCAGCACTTACAGTGCAGCTGTAGATAAGTTATCTAGCCTCCCTGTGCCTGATTCATCTGTACACTGGAAGCAATTATAGCACTTAGTTTATAGGATTGTTCTGAAAATTTACATGAGATGATGCCTAAAAGTACCTTGGACACTCCAAATTATCTACCGTGTTCTTTCTTCTTAGTATTATCTGTTTTCCGCCTCCATCCCCGGCATAATGTAAGTTACAATTAGTACATTTATCCCTACTACTTTGTCTGTGAATTGAGAAAATTAGTTGATAATTTCAAACCATGTGGTTTCTGAAAGCAGACTCCCTCCTTCCCAGGGCAGGGAAGAGAAGAGTGAAGGCATTTCTCTTCACAGAGAAGTAGCACCACTCAGGATATGGATCCAATTATTTAGTTAAAGATGGTGTTCACTCAGCCAATACATTTGTAGTGTCTGTTCAGAGGCAATAAGAGAGCTTGATGCCAGGAGAGTGTTAGGGAGAAACAGAGATGATCCTTGCTTCATGTAACTATAGTCACAGGGGAAAGGGGAGAGAGGGATGTAAGTGGCAGAAGTCACCAGAGAGAGATGTGCAAAGGCCCATGGAAGAAGAAGTAAGGATTCAGCCTTAGAAGTTCTTTCTTCTTAGTTCTTCTTGCAGAGAGCAAGGGGGAGTGTGCTGTGAAATGAGGCTGGAGAGAGAGAGAGACAAGGGCTAGTTATAGGGGATACTTTAGAATGTATTAATGATTTGAATCTCTATTCAGAGACAATGGGATATCAAGGGTTTTAAGTACAGGACTGACATGATCAGATTGTGTTTTGAAAAGATAGTTCATGTTTAAACACAGAGAACAAATTATTGGAGGGCTAGAATGAATATGGAGAGGCAAATTTGGATGGCATTGGTATTGCTGTGATCCCACCCAGAAAGAGATGATAGAGAAAAGGACAATGGTGTGGCAAAGATGGAGAGGATGAACAGGTTCTGACGGTCACTTGGGAGGTGAAATGGACAAGCTCTGATAGCACATTGGAAATGAGGAAGTCAGTGAGGAAAGAGTCTATAGATTTGGGGTTCTCAATCCAATGGATGATGGTGCCAGTCACTGAGATAAGAAACCCTAGAGAAGAAACAGCATTGTAAGGACGTCTTGTTTTAAAACTTGTTCAGTTTGAGATGCTGCTTTTGCAGAATCGAAGTAGGTAGACACAGTGGGAACAGAAGTTGTCAAAAATGGAAATTAAAAGGTGACAACTGAAGCCATTCATTATTTGAACCACTTGATTCAAGTGAAGTGTTAGTTGAAAATGGCAGAGACAAAATAGTGGGCGATGAGAAGTTGGCCCAAGACAATGCTATGAGCTATTTAACTGCTAGATGGCAGAAAATGAGCTTTCAAAGGATACAAACAAGAAGTGACCAAGGGGACAAGAGAAAAAACAGATGCATGTGATGCTACAGATGTTAAGGCAAGAAAGTGTTTCAAAAAGAAGAAGTGCTTAGGTGTGACAAATGCTCCTTACAGGGAAATAAGATAAGAACTAATTTTAAAAACACAACAAGACTATTAGATTTAGCAAAATGGAGACCACCGTCACTTTAGCAAGACCTGCTGTGGTGGAATGTTAGGGAGAAAGCCAGATTGAAGTGGGAGGGAAGGAGACCGAGAGAGAGTGAACAAACATCTCCATCATCACATTTTCCAGAAGGCCAGCTTCTGAAAGTCAGTCTGGACTCTCTCAGAATCTTTCCTATTTCAGGCCATAGTGAAATACTTATTTACAGGACACATTAATCTTTCCTAAACTGGTGATGAGACAGCAATTTCAGAGAATCTTAAGTACACTTGTTAAAATCTCATTCATTTCGGGTCATGCTCCTTCTATTACTCCTGCTTTGTAAAAATTTAACTCACTTTTTTATTTTTATTATGAAAAAGATGGGAATTTCGAACCACTGGATGTGGTATGACTGCAAATCACTGATAATATGTGTCCTGGAGACAGAATACTTCCTGCTTGTGGAAGGCAAAGAGATATAGCATAATGCTGAGATGGGTTTTAGTTAAGGTACAGATTAAAATCACCTTTCATTTGATGCTGTACCACCTCTTCCCGTTCCCTGACTAGTGGCCCAAAGGAAGCAGAGCCCAGATGTAAGAGATTATAAAATGCTTCCCTGGGTCTTAGGTTATATCTTTTTTTTTTTTTTAAAATCAATACCTCTAGCAAACAAGAAGTTCTAAATTTGAGCTTTTGCATTAGCTTTACAATCTGTGCAACGTATTAATCTTTCATCACGACACCACATCACTCTGCTTCTTTCTGTTTAAAGGTAGTTGTATGACAAATGTCACTCAATAAGTTTAGGTATCCAGTGTTTAACTGAAAGATGTATATGTAGAAGTTCCTCATAAAAATACTTTCATAAGCTAATAATTTCTATCAAAATGACCAAATCAGACAAATATTAGACAAAAAGTGGCCTTATCTAACAAAGTAAGATGGCTCCTTTTGTGGGCTGTGGGGTTAGTATCCTCCATGAGGCATAGATTTGGTTAGGGTTTAAAAAGGTGAGGACGGGAGGAAAAGGGAGGTTGGAGTTTGCTGATAACCTTACCCTTTCACATAAATATCACTTGATTTTTGGCCTGTGAAGATATTCTCATCCTCTAAAATGACATCTTCAGTGTTCCAGATGGTCACTCTCAATTCATATCTGGGGTGAGAGAAGGAAACATTAGGTTTATGACTTTGAAAGCTGAGTCAATTGGTGTCTGTGTGGTTCTAGTATTGCCTTTGGTCTGTAAGTTTCCTTAAGTTTGCCAGGTTCAGAAATATCAACATTCAGGGGCTTGGTTCCGTCAGAACCAAGTATCCCAGCTGGAGACCATAGAACCATCAAGGACACAAATTACTCTGAGCAGATCTTCCTTTTATTAACCAGCATTTTTCAGATGAGGAACTGGAAACTCAGAAGCCCCTCCCTTAAGACAGGGGCTACCACCAGACCCTGGAAAACTGACGAGGTAGATAGTGAGGTATCAGGTAAGCTGTCAGACACCAGATAAAATGTCACGATTCTTTCTTTTGCTACCCTGGTCTCTTCCCCTAAAGCTGGGGCTGCAGCTGACATACCCTTTGGGTTGCCTTGGAGAGATGTCAACAGGAGGTCCAGGTTGAGGCATATCCTTGGGAAACATGTCTACCCACATCTGCAGGCGGCCCTTGTTAAGGAAAAAATGTCTTCTTTAGCTTTGGGGGACATGGGTAATGGATAATTCATGGTTTTATAAGATCCCTTTAGTTGAAATGGGTATTAAGTATAGCCTGGTAGTTTTATAGATGTCTATTTAGCATATCTGTTGACTTTTTTTTTTAAGGAATTAGAGCATAAATTAAGAGTAGGTAAAAAATAAAAAAGTAGGTGAAGGGTGAGCATCAACTAGGTGGTAGACATAGTGTTATCCATATATTTGACACACATTATCTTATAAACTCTTGCAATATCCCCACTGGGTAGATGTTATTATTCCTGTCTGGCAGAGGAATAAACATTTTGCCCATGTTTAATAGTATGTAGCAGAGTTTAGATTCAACCCCTGTGTGTTGACCCCAGAGACCTTGCCCTTTCTGCAAACCCCTAAGGATTAAACAGATGATAATCCCATCTGTCACAAATATGCTTCAATGTACCTTTATATCTATTATCTCTGTTAATGTTCACCCCAGCCAGGATTCAGTTCTATACATAAACTAAGGCTCAGAGAAGTCAGCAAAATTTATCTGAAGTTCTGTGGCTAGTTAGTGCTGAAGAGAGCCTCCCATCCATTGCCTTGAACTCCATACATCAGATTTTACTCTGGTACAAGAGATTTAAGGGTCCATGTGAGAAATCCTTTGGATTCCATGCTCAGCTCTGTTGTATACATTCTAAGAATGGGGTGGATTTTATAAAGATAAGGTGGGGCTCCACCAGAGCATGAAGAATATGCAGGATTTGGATGAGGAAGGGGTTTTAGCTAGAAAAGAATGACTCTTCAGAGGAAGAGAAAATGTAAGCAAAGATTTAGCACTTGGGAAGAAAACCAATTCAATAGAGGAAAGCGGGATGATTTATTTTCTAAAGCACATTAGTATTCACCCTTAATAAAAGAGCCACATCTGACCAGCAAAATGAAGGATCCTAGTAATCAAAAGATTTCAAACACCAGGCAGTGAATTTCAGGTAACAATCATAAGCTGTGTGATTATGATTGTGGTAATGGTTTACCCTCTCATCATGCTCCTCCAGACATGCAATCGCTAGGTCTATATCCCAATACCTCTGGGATAGCAGGGTGAGTGTTCCTGACCCATTATAATCAAACTCATGAGTTGCCTGTCACATAGTAAGTGAGCCCAGAGCTGGGACAGAAGCTGGCTTGTGGTGTGGACATAGCGTGGGCCAGGAATGCAGATTGCCTGGGCTAAATCCCATCTTTACTACTCACAACTGAGTAATTCGGAGCAAATTAACTGAGCCCTCTGAACCTCAATTTCCTCATAGGCCCATCGTGGGGCTGCATTAAGGAATAAGAGGAAGGTGACCCACACACCCCCGTTTGTCTAGAAAAATCCAGCTTGATTATTAACAGTGCCCTCACTCACTCCCAAATGGCCCCAGTTTGGATCAACAATTCTATGGTCATCCTAAATAGCTTAGAAAATGTATGTAAAGGTCCTAGTAACCGAAGGCTCTTAACAAAGGTTATCTTCTCTCCCTTCTGATTCCAGCCCAGCTCTCTGGGTATTTTTTTCACACAGCTTCTTCTTGCTAGTTCTTTAAGGTAAGCTACCACCTATTGCTTCTCTGGAAAAACTGTGTGTGTGTGTGTGTGTGTGTATTACTAGGCTGTGTGGTTACAGATAGATTTTGGACAAAGTCCTGGGCATACCCAATGGGTTTTTAAGTTACTCAAATGTCTAGTATTCTTCCAGAAGAGTTTGGTAACTCAGATGTCTAGTATTCTTCCAGAAGAGTTTGGTAACTCAAATGTCTAGTATTCTTCCAAAAGAGTTTGGTAACTCAAATCATAAAAAGCAGTACTAAGCTGAACACTGACTCCAGGGCAGGGCTTCTCAAACTCAGCATTATTGACTGGATATTTTAGGCTGGATAATTCCTTGGAGAGAACCTACCTTGTATTTTCTAGGATGCTTAATTTCGCACCATCCTTGGCCTCTATCCACTATATGCCAGTAGCAACCCCACCAACTTGTGACAACCCAAAATGATTCCAGACATTGCTAAATGTTCCTGAGGGAAGAAGGTCAAAATTGTTCCTGGGTGAAAACTATTACTCTAGGGTACACAAGATTAACTTTAAAGGCCAGAAACGTCTTGCCCACTACCTGCTCCATTCCTGGCTTATCTTTGTGGTACAGCGGCCGAGTTTCTATGTGCTCGGGAACCAGCCTGCACCCGACTTCCGGGATATCCTCCCAAGAGTGTAAAACCTTGAGGGCCAGGTGTTCATAAGACTCCACTGTCTCATCTGCAGGAAAGAAAGACAAAGAAAGAAACTTGTCAGATGTTGTGATGAGCGGCCAGATGCATTTTTAAACACTTCTCTTACAGGCTTATTTAAATATACCAAGGGTCTGGGTGCAATGGTTCACACCTGTAATCCCAGCGCTTTGGGAGGCCAAGATGGACAGATCACTTCAGATCAGGAGTTCAAGATCAGCCTGGCCAATATGGCAAAACCTTGTCTCTACTAACAATACAAAAAATTAGCCAGGCATGGTGGCATGCGCCTGTAATTCCAGCTACTCAGTAGGCTGAGGCAGGAGAATCGCTTGAACCCAGGAGGCAGAGGTTGCAGTAAGCTGAGATCGTGCCACTGCACTCCAGCCTGGGCAACAGAGCAGGGACTCTCTCAAAATAAATAAATAAATGTACCAAGAAACAGGGAAAGATAAAACAAAACAAAACAAAAAACCAGAAAAAAAAAAAAAGTAAGGTTGGAAAGAGGTGGAGATAGAGAGAAGGGAAAGGGAAAGTTTAGAGAGAGGGAATAGAGACTGGTTCATAAGAGGACCCAGAAAGCGGGTCTTGGTCCTGGAGCAGTGGCTCCAACCACCCCCTAAGATCTACAGATTATAAGCATGGCTTCAAAGTACTGGAGAGGGTACATTTTTGGAGGTATAAATCTGTTTGCTAACATACTGTGAAACAACCTGGAGAATCATGGTGGCCCTAAGCGAGGTGGTGAAATGGACCCAATGTCCATCCAGAGGGACATCTTTTGTCTTCTCAAGGTGTCTTGAGATTTCTCTCTTACCAACACCCATCCACAGGAAATGTCCTCTCACCTGCCATTCTACCAAAGGTGGTTATTCATGATAAAAGCTACAGGTGGAAATGATACTCACAAAAGAAGACAAAAATTGTTGAAAGAATAAAATCTTGACAAAGCTTAGAGCGGCCTAATTTGATATAGGAAAATCAAACTTGTCTTTAGAAAAAGGGGCCACAATGCCCCATTTTACATGATGTGATTGTGATGATTATACCTTGCATGCCTATATAAAAATGTTTTATTTACCCCATAAATACCTATTACATACCCATGAAAATTAAAAAAGGGGTCACAAAAGAAATCTCCCAATAGCAATAATTACAATCAGTAAAAGTTGATAAAGACAAACAAGAAATCAATGAGTAAATCTTTGTCAAAGTTTAAGCAGCCAGGGACTAATCTTATGAACTTAATTTCAGACTTTCAGTGGGTAAAAAAGTGGTAATTGTTTAATCACATAGAATACTGACCAAAGAACTAAAATGGCTTAATAGAGGATATTGCGAATCAATATTTTTCTCAATATATCATTAATATCTTACCTAAATATCCATAATCTGCATGTAAGAACCTTCAATGGGTTTCTGGGCTTGAAATAACAAGGTAAGAGGAATTGGTATCAAAGTGGTAGGGTCAACATAGTATCAAACCATCCTATGTCTGATCAGTACTTTTGATGAAATGACCTATGCCCTTTATTGGGCTAATTGCATCAAAAGTACTGAACCCTATGTAGGACACTTTAAAGCATCAAATGCATGTGCGAGTGATGTGGTTTGGGTCTGTTCTCTGCCCGAATCTAATGTTGAACTGTAATCCTCAGTGTTGGAGGTAGGGGCTGGTGGGATGGTGACTGGATCATGGGGGCAGTTTCTCATGAATGGTTTAGCACAATCCCCCCTAGTGCTGTTCTCATAATAGACTTCCCACAAGATCTAATTGTTTAAAAATGTGTAGCACTTCCCCACTTTCCCTCTTCTTCCTGCTCTGGCCATGTGAGTGCTGTGCTGGCTCTGTGTTTGCCTTCCGCCATGATTGCAGGTTTCCTGAGGCCTCTGCAGAAGCGAGGGAGATGCGGCCATGCTTCCAATAGAGCCTGCAGAACCGTGAGCCAATTAAAACTCTTTTCTTTAGAAATTACACAGTCTCAGGTGTTTCTTCATAGCAATGCAAGAACAAACTAATATAGTGTGACAGTATGAGAACTGTGCCATATCACTAAAGTAAATGTGATTTTTTTCCCCACTCTAAATTTATGGAAGCCTCTCTGGGATCTTTGTGTTATGTCCCATGATGCTCATGTGGAAAATCTACTACTTGGTTTTAAAATAGGATAGTTATTGGTATAACATTTATGGGGGTAATTTGGGTTGTGTTCAATTATTTATGCTATATAATATTCACTTCAAGGCTATTGTCCACCTTCTGACAACAATTCTACTTCTGCGACCTATACTATAGAAATATCGGAAACACACAAAAATTTGTATAAGGAAGTTCATTATCTCATTGTCACTACAAAAAAAAACCAATGTAAATAAATGGCATAGCCATAAAAAGGAATATCATCACTGATCATTTCAAAAAACAAAGGAGAATCATTATAATCTATGGAAAAATTTTAAAAGCTGGGCACAACACCATATGCATAATTCTGTAAAAATTTGATATATTCTCACTCACACACAAACAAGTGCAAGAAAATATGCCAGCAAGCATCTGAACTTGGGGATTAAGAGTGATGTTCATTATTTTCTTTACTTTTCCACGTTTTCCACCGTGAGCATGCATTACTCTTTTTCTTGATACTGAATCTCACTCTGTTGTCCAGGCTGGAGTGAAGTGGTACAATCTCTGCTCACTGCAACCTCTACCTCCTGGGTTCAAGTGATTCTTGTGGCTCAGCCTCCTGAGTAGCTGGGATTACAGGCACCCACTACCACACATAGCTGAGGTTTGTATTTTTAGTACAGAGAGTGTTTCACCATGTTGGACAGGCTGTTCTCGAACTCCTGACCTAAAGTGATCCACCTGTCTCGGCCTCCCAAAGTGCTGGGATTACACATGTGAGGCATCGTGTCCAGCCACATTGATTTTATAATTAGATATCCCACAGTCCCATACCCAAAAATATCACTAGAATCAGGATTTTCAAAAGAGGAGGAACACCAGCAGGATATTTTGCAGGGAGTTACCAGTGTCCTCTTCAGTGAAGACAGTTTTTCCCGAAAAGACTTGTTTTCCTATCTGTATTTTCCCAGGGCGAAAGTAGGGTCCATCCAGCTTGTTGTCTTTGCAGAGCTTGGTGAGGATCTCAGTGGGTTTGGATGTGTCTCTCCAGGCATTGTATCCTTCTCTAAAAAGTGGAGGGAGGACACACTTTGAAGTCCCCACTAAAAGAACCACCCAATATGATCTGTGCAGTTTCCTTCAGATTTAACCCGCTATTCTATATACCTGGGCTAGGGGTTTTGTTTTCTCTCTTTTCTGGCCAAACACAGCTTGCCTGAAAGGTGAGACTTCTGAGTAGCTTGACAGAAAAATCCTTTGAAGGTAGTTTTTTTTTTGTTTGTTTTGCTTTGTTTTAGTAATGTACTTTTCATTTTTAAAAAATTGAAGTGAAAGTCACATAACAAAATTAACCATTTAAAAGTTGATCAATATAGTAAGTAGCACTTAGGATATTCACAATAAGGTGTAACCATCACCTCTATCTAATTCCAAAAAGTTTCCTCATCCCACAACAAAGCCCTGTACCCAAAAAGCAGTTACTCCTCTTTCCCACTCCCCAGAGGCTTTGGCAATCACCAATCTGCATTCTGTCTCTATGCATTTCTTTGCAGGTTATATTTGTTTAGTTTTATTAAGTCCCTCACAGAACAGCCACTTGGCTGCTCGTATTCCAAGAGGAATGCCTAGCTCATCCTTTCAATGTCTCTGCTTCTTTCCTCCCTGCTCCCTAGCCCACAGCCTGCCAAAATCATAGTATATATTCATGTCACCGATAGTCTTGATGTGTTATTTCTCTAACTGGTGATTTTCCTGGTGACAAGTTTTTAAATTTTACCAACCCATTCTTTCCTTAAAAACTAGCCAGATTGATTAAAAATAAAAGAGAGAACAACCAAATAGATGCAATAAAAAATGATAAAGGGGAAATCACCACAGATTCCACAGAAATTCAAACCATCATCAGAGAATATTACAAACAACTCTATGCACATAAACTAGTAAACCTGGAAGAAATGGATAAATTCCTGGACTCCTGCATCCTCCCAAGCCTAAACCAGGAGGAAGCTGAAACTATGAATAGACCAATAACAAGGTCAGAAGTCGAGGCAGCAATTAAGAGCCTACCACACAAAAAAAGCCCAGGTCCAGACGGGTTCACAGCCGAATTCTACGAGACACACAAAGAGGAGCTGGTACCATTACTTCTGAAACTATTCCAGACAATCCAAAAAGAGGGAATACTTCCCACATCATTTTATGAGACCAACATCATCCTGATACCAAAACCCGGAAGAGACCCAACAAGAAAAGAAAACTTCAGGCCAATATCCATGATGAACATAGATGCAAAAATCTTCAATAAAATATTGGCAAGCCAAATGCAACAGCAAATCAAAAAACGTATTCACCATGATCAAGTAGGATTCATCCCGGGGATGCAAGGCTGGTTCAACATACGCAAGTCTATCAACGTAATTCACCACATAAACGGAACCAAAAACAAAAACCACATGATTATCTCAATTGATGCAGAGAAGGCATTTGACAAAATTCAACAGCCCTTTATGCTACAAACCCTCAATAAACTCGGTATCCATGGAACGTATCTCAAAGTAATAAAAGCTACTTATGACAAACCAACAGCCAATATCATACTGAATGGGCAAAAACTGGAAGCATTCCCTTTGAAATCTGGCACTAGACAAGGATGCCCTCTTTCACCACTCCTATTCAATATAGTTCTGGAAGTTCTAGCCAGAGCAATCAGGCAAGAAAAAGAAATAAAGGGTATTCAAATAGGAAAGGAGGAAGCCAAATTGTCTCTATTTGCAGACGACATAATAGTATACCTAGAAGACCCCATCACCTCAGCCCAAAAACTCCTGAAACTGATAAGCAACTTCAGCAAAGTCTCAGGATATAAAATCAATGTGCAAAAATCACAGGCATTCGTCCACACCAATAACAGACTTAAAGAAAGCCAAATCAAGAACGAACTGCCATTCACAATTGCTACAAAAAGAATAAAATACCTTGGAATACAACTCACAAGGAACGTAAGAGACCTCTTCAAGGAGAACTACAAACCACTGCTCAACGAAATCAGAGAGGACACAAACAGATGGAGAAACATTCCATGTTCATGATTAGGAAGAATTAATATCATGAAAATGGTTATACTGCCCAAAGTAATTTACAGAATCAACGCTATCCCCATCAAGCTACCATTGACTTTCTTCACAGAACTGGAAAAAACCACCATGAACTTCATATGGAACCAAAAGAGAGCCCGCATAGCCAAGTCAATGCTAAGCAAAAAGAACACAGCGGGGGGCATCACACTACCGGATTTCAAACTATACTACAAGGCTACAGTAATCAAAACAGCATGGTACTGGTACCAAAACAGAGATATAGACCAATGGAACAAAACAGAGGCACCAGAGGCAACACAACATATCTACAACTATACAATCTTTGATAAACCTGACAAAAACAAGCAAGGGGGAAAGGATTCCCTGTTTAACAAATGGTGTTGGGAAAACTGGCGAGCCATGTGCAAAAAGCAGAAACTGGACCCCTTCCTGACACCTTACACTAAAATTAACTCCAGATGGATTAAAGACTTAAACATAAGACCTGGCACCATAAAAACCCTAGAGGGAAATCTAGGCAAAACTATGCAGGACATAGGAGTGGGCAAGGACTTCATGAACAAAACACCAAAAGCATTGGCAACAAAAGCCAAAATAGACAAACAGGACCTAATGAAACTCCACAGCTTCTGCATGGCAAAAGAAACAGTCACTAGAGTGGATCGGCAACCAACAGAATGGGAAAAAATTTTTGCAGTTTACCCATCTCACAAAGGGCTGATATCCAGAATTTACAAAGAACTCAAATGGATTTACAGGAAAAAAACAAACAAGCCCATTCAAAAGTGGGCAAAGGATATGAACAGACACTTTACGAAAGAAGACATATATGAGGCCAACAATCATATGAAAAAATGCTCATCGTCACTGGTCATCAGAGAGATGCAAATCAAAACCACATTGCGATACCATCTCACACCAGTTAGAATGGCGATCATTAAAAAATCTGGAGACAACAGATGCTGGAGAGGATGTGGAGAAAAAGGAACACTTTTACACTGTTGGTGGGAGTGTAAATTAGTTCAACCATTGTGGAAGACAGTGTGGCGATTCCTCAAGGCCTTAGAAATAGAAATTCCATTTGACCCAGCAATCCCATTACTGGGTATATATCCAAAAGACTATAAATCGTTCTACTATAAGGACACATGTACACGAATGTTCATTGCAGCACTGTTTACAATAGCAAAGACCTGGAATCAACCCAAATGCCCATTGATGATAGACTGGATTGGAAAAATGTGGCACATATACACCACGGAATATTATGCAGCAATCAGAAATGATGAGTTTGTGTCATTTGTAGGGACATGGATGAATCTGGAGAACGTCATCCTCAGCAAACTGACACAAGAACAGAAAATGAAACACTGCATATTCTCACTTATAGGCGGGTGATGAAAAATGAGAACACATGGACACAGAAAGGGGAGTACTAAACACTGGGGTCTATTGGGAGGAAAAGGGGAGGGCCAGTGGGAGGGGGAGGTGGGGAAGGATAGCCTGGGGAGAAATGCCAAATGTGGGTGAAGGGGAGAAAGCAAACAAAACACACTGCCATGTGTGTACCTACGCAACTGTCTTGCATGCTCTGCTCATGTACCCCAAAACCTAAAATCCAATAAAAATTAAAAAAAAAAAAAACTAGCTGTTTTGTTAAAATTATTAACTTGTAATGCAGCACTCCCTCAGAGCCAGGACCAAGATAATTTGATGTCTCTGCTCATTGGGACACTGGGTTCATCAGAATTTAACTTGTTTAAGCATTTAAACAAATCAACATGACTTATGAAATGGAGCTATCAAGTAGTTTTTCCACATTATGCCAGGAACCTGAGAATTCTGAAAAGATCATCCAAGCCAGTCCCAGAGCCACACACAGGCCTTCCCAGAAATAGGCGTGCTTGTCTTGTTTTCAAAAGTTTTCAGCGAATATTTTTTATTCACTGAATAAAAGGTTGCAAGTCCCCAGACAACTATACTACTCCCTAGTAGGTCAGCCAGGAAATTCTTCTGAACAAAATAAGCACCACATTAGCCTGTGGTTTCCTTCCCCAGTTTCAGAGTGAGAACAGCTAATCACTGTCTGAATGGAATTCTCCCAGGCACACAGAAAGCTATGAAAATAACTCTAAGAGGCATGTGGCTCCACTAGGGACTGATAACCGAACTGGCTCTCTAGGCTCAAGGAAGAACAGGCCAGAAAAAGAGACTGTATGAAATCATGTCATGAAGGAGATAGGTGCTTAGAGTGTAAATTGGCACAACCCTCTGGAGGGCCACTGGGGCATATGCATTAAAAGTCCCAAAATGTGCATTTCTGTTAATGGAGTAGTCCACCTTGGTGCATAAGTATTAAGTGAATTATCAGAGAGGTGTGCAGTGGCTTTTGTATGAGAATATTCATAGCAACGATATTTGTAACAGAATAAAGAAGAAAAATACAGGAAGGCAAATTGGTTTTACCATGATTGAATACTACAGATATATTGAAATAATGATTATAAAGAATGTCTAATGACATATATGCTTGGGATGATAATAAGCTAAGTACAACAAGCAGGTTACAAAACCGCATGGATAATAAGAGTCCAGTTAGGGGAAACAGCATGGAACAGACTGAAAATGAAACATTATGCAAGAATTTTCACATGACTAAAATAATTTGAGAATCATTTTGTACTTTCTGTATTTTCCAATTTCTACATTACGCCATACTCTAATTTTTTTCCATAAGCTATAAGATACAACATGCTTTTAAAAAAATAAAGCTGGTAGGTAGTCTATATTTTAAAATTAAACAGCATTCAAAATATTTGTAAAAAGAGTTGGGGAGGGAGACAGAGGAACACTAAATTGAACAGCTATACACACAAGATCAGGGGAGCAATCACAGTACCTGGTTTTAACATGATATTAAGGAAAGAGGCACTAAAGAAGGTAAGAAAGACAGTCTTGAATTGCCTAT